CATGGTCTTCCACTTCCATGATTGTTTGAATGTAGGCACCCAGTGAACATGAAGTCATCAAGAGAGACAAAACTGTTGAAATCGGGGTACTTCATGGTTTTGAGGTGACTTGGGCAAGGAAAATTCCACCCGGTTGGCGATCCAAGGTGGCTTGAGGTTGGGTTGTCCGCAGCTAAGACCGCATCCAAAAAAATGTGTATATCATTAAAACAAAAAAGAAAAACAATCTACACCGCTCAACCGGGTTTGCGTGGTCGCCTTGCCACCCGCCTTGCCATGGATGTAGTACTTGAAGAAGTTCATAGAGGTGAGCACGTTGTACATCAGGCACTGATGCATCCTCGGCGCCCGGTCGATGTTGGGCCAACGGACCTTGTTGAACAAGGGTTGAAAAGGTATAAAATCCGGAATTCACAAGCCACTGGAGTCACTGGAGTGGATGGAAGCCTAGTTCTGTCGTGCTTTGGGGATTCTTTTTGGAGGGAAATCTGGCCTTAAGTGCCTTCCAACCAGAAGGAATTGCATTTCTCTCATGGAACCAGGCAGCAAGCTGATCTGTTCGATCCTCACACCATGCTGAGTCTCACATTCTTCCATCTGTCCCACTCGTGGCATGACAGTTAGACTCCTTTAAGGTACGAGGAAGACTGGGAAACAAGGGTGTCGGGGAGGTCTTCATACTTCAACGTGGATGACCTAAACCGACCTGACCGACCTGCTCCTTTTCATCGGCTGCGGGGTGAAACGACGCATCCGGGCCAGGCCCAATGCAGATGGGCAAACTACATCCACGGCTCTACGACTGAACCATCGATTTGGAAGGCGCCGTTGCACGGCGCCGGGTTCCGGCGCGGAATCGAAACATCCAGCGTGAAGAGAACGAACGTCGCCGCATCATGTCCAACTCCTAGAAGGAATCACTGGGAGATATCTGGTATCATGGTAGGTCTATCATGCTAGAAGCATGGCAAATCTACTTAAGAGATAACAAATATCTACCTAATAGATCGAACCATGAGAGACATCTGTTATCTACCTAACAGAACTCCTAGAAGAAATCTGCTAGGTCTATCTGTTCGCGGTATCTATATATTATGTTTTTGTCATGGTCAAACTGACAAGGCTGAAAGCGCTTTCTTGAAGCTTTTATCAACAACACCTTCCAAGGTTGTCTCATGTTAAAGTCCTTTCACACAAACAACCGGCAAAATGTGGACATCGCAGTAACATTTGAATCTGCTGGACAGTGTTTTTGTACCCCTCGTTTTGCACCAAAGGAGAACACATCAATTGGTGCATCAATACAGGACATATCATCAGTCATCTGAAATCCAAAAGACTGGGTCAAGAGGTTAATCTGAAATCTGAAATCTGGGAGGGATGCAACTCGTTTCATTTCATGTCGACCTGTGCCTGTTTTTTTCTGGTTCGACCCTGTCTCTGTCGTCCAGCCGTGATCAACCGCTGGAGCGCCAAGGCCATCGACAGCAGACCGGAGACTGGAATCAAGACATGGGAGTCGCCAGAGCTCGCCATGTCGCCATGTTCGAGCATGTTCAACCCTTATAATATGGAGAACCAACCACCCAAGAGCCGATGGTTTTCTTCACAAAAGCGAGCAAAGGTCAGATGGGTTCCAGAGAGCTGCACCAAACCTATAGGCCTGTTGATATCCTCAAACAAATGGTTCATCAAGAGCCGAAAGGAATGTCATAGGTGGCAACAAGTTGTGGACAGAATAGGTTGTTTGGGGCTTGGGCGGTCTTGGTTTGCGGCCCATGCAAAGAAGAAAGAAGCTCCAATCGATGTCCAAATCCATCTGACATGCCTGCTGTTCCGTTCGGTTGTTCGGTCCGGCACGGGTCCGGGGATGCGCCTCCTCCCCATGAGGTAGACGATGTTTCTGTTGGTCTTGAACAACACGTTTGTCCGTTGGTCATCCGATTCCTTGCTCACATCTCTTGATTCTCAGCCACCAGCCCTACCTTCTTCACGCCTCACTCTGGGCTTTCTCTATGCAGGACCCACCAATCCAATGTGCCAATGGTCGGAAGTTGTGTCCCTTAAACTCCTGCGCCCAAAAAGTCCCCAACCCTCAACACCTCAAAAGGGCCAAGGATGAGACCCTGGCCATCGTGGCCCTCACCCAAAAAGACCATGGCCTATCACCACAGCATCTCGACGATTGCAAGGATACATCATTGGCCAGAGTCTTGGCCGTGTAGGACAGGGCCACTCAAGAAGATGGTGGAGCAATTACTTTTCTTGACCAAACTTAACATCCAGACACCCGGACATGGAATCAACCAAACCTCTGCATGTTTGCATGCCTCTTTATTCAGACCACCCAGATTTGGGATCACATCCCGGGGGGTCAACGCCCAGAAAAAGAGCTTGTGCCTCAAGATGACTCTTGGCCAGGAACCACATGGGCAGATGGATCATTTCGGTGATGAGTCCCTTGGTACTGATGTCTGTGAGCGTCTTTTCGGGGAAGTATACATCTATGATTAGCAGCCTGCACGTAACGTAGTTCCAACGCAGAAAGTGCTCTTCCACATCGCGTTGGCCGCTTGCAAGTAGGAGGGTGAGGACGACTCAGCAGAAAGCAGTTTGACCATTTGTCTTTACAGTGCATCGAAAGCTCCAAGCACAGGGTTACTGCCCCACCTTTCATTTGATCGCCAGGTTCTGTCACAGGCATGCAACATACTGTTGACACGGTTTTCAAGGTTGTCGACCTGTGGTCGCGAACTCTGCGTCCACCCCTCCCACCGGTTCGCCCGTGTCATTGGGAGCGTCCGAGACGGAGCAACCAGGCAGCTTTTCGGATGCTTTTTCAGAAACATGGATCAGGACCTTTCGGAGGGTGACCCTGGAAGCAAAACTGCATGCCCCCTTGGGCTGGTCTGGTCATGGGGGGGGCAAAAGAACACCATCCGGCGGTTGGGTAGAGATTTTCCCACAAATCGATGGAAGAATGAAACAAGCCTGCATCAACCTGCAAGGAATGGGGTTCCAAATGAAGGTGTTTGACTTCTTTCCATGAGATCCAATGGGGATGTGAGCCTAAAACCATGGTTTCTTGGTCCATGCCACATTGTGATCCTAAAACCAGGTCTCAAAGGTTCCGAGATCCGTTAAAGGTCACAAGATTCGGACGCCGAAGGAAAGATCGCGACCTGAGTGACTATTCTTAAGATAGGCATTTCAGCCTCGGCAACCAAATTGAAGTTGGCATGTGGGAACTGCAGAGGACAAATCATGACCCAGCATGTACACGCGAGATTCGAGGCGAATCCCACTATAGGTTGTCTAGGTTGTCTACTGATTAGGTGGCTTTAAGCTGAAGTGGTGGTTGCCAGGGGGTTGCCAGGTCTTTGGGATCTGAACGAGAGTTCCTTCCACCCCCAAAAGAGGAAGCCCTTTTGGAAACGCCGTTTTGACGAGGCAAGTCGTTCCACGTGGATCCCACGAGGGCGTGGATCCCATGTCCTTTGTGTTTTGAAAGTGACTCCCGAGACCTTGATGCAAACACACAAACCCGTCACACCATCTACAACGAAACTGACATGGAGAAAAAGACTGGTGCACAAGATCGAGAGATAGAGAGAGAGAGAGAGGGCGAGAAGGCGAGAAGGAGAAAGAGATAGGAAGAGAAGGAGAAGGAGAGGTTTTGAGGGGGAGGGCAGTGAATTTTCTATCTCGGGCTCTAAAACGATCGGCTAATTTGATTTATGCAAGGCTCCGCAATAGTACTGCCTTCCACGAATCGCACGCCGTGAGCCTGGTTTGACGCCCTCCGGGCCGCTTTGGCAGATCTGGAACTCGCCAACCGCTCCAGCCGGTCGACCGCTGTTTCCGCACGAGTGAAGCCAAAGCCGCAGGTCAGAGGGGCTGTTACAGCATCGTCGGCTCCTTCGTGTTTCTTCAACATTGGAATCCCATGTGGTCTCCAGGCGACGAACGACAAACACGAGATCCATGCGGTCCATGCGCCAACCTCCGGGAAGAACCCAGGAGTTTCATGTCGGGGTACGAGCTTCGAGGTGACGTCGTCGGGGGGTGCGATGGGACTCGAGACCATCGGAGCTACCGGGAAGTCAACCCATGAGCACCAGACACTCAGCCCCGTTCTGAACGGCCCGTGTCTAAGGGCAAAGACCTGAGACACGTGTCCAAGGTGCTTCACCTTCAAAACAAAAAAAACATGTGGAGATGACCACCATCGTGGAGTTGAGTAGCAGTTCTGCAAACCTGGGAGAAAGCCCAAGTCGACTTTGAGAAACAAAGAAAACGCATGAAGATCCACTCTGCCCAAAGACGTCCACATCCCAAATCAAATGACATTCTGATGAAGATGCGATGATGTGCCTCCTCTGCCCACAGCCAATGGCCATCGCTGGCACATGGCCGCTGGCACGCACCGAGGGTCTGTCTTTGTCATGCGTGAAGTAAGTATGAGCATACTTGAGGTCGATTCTAGCCCAAAACATCCAAACACTTGCTGCTGAAGCAAGAGCAACTCCAGCTGCCGCTGGAGTTCGCGGTCGCTGGAACGTGAGTTCCTGTTGGCATCCCAGCCCGGCCACCCTCCAAACTGTTCTATGACGGGGACCAGTACCTCACAAGATGAGGATGGAAGTGACTGTCAAACACTGAAGAGGACCAGAGGGGACCAAAGGGGACCAGAGGACTTGACCGGTGTCCAAGAGTCTGGAGCTTCACACGACCAATTGGTGTCCATCCAGTAGCGCCCCTTATATAAGCACGCCCAAGCAGGGCATCTCTGGGGCTGGATATCTTGGAACCTAAAGGGGCTGGAAATGCGGAATTCACCGTCCAGATTAGAAATATATATATATATATCGGAGGTGTCTCTACCCTTGATCATAGACGATCATTCAAGGCTGTGATGCCGATCTTCTCGGGCGACCTTCAGTGCAAACATGCCGCTTCTGTGGTAGTTTCCCACCCGTCTGCGTCGAAAACGCGTCGCCTCACTTCGCATACCGGACGGAGGAGACCTGGGTCTTCCGGATCAGCGCGGCGGCTTCGCCCACACGATCCAAGAGGTTCTCTCTTCGCTTCTTGTTACTAGTAGCGATGCCAGCCCCGTTCGTAGCGTCCTTGCTCCTAAAGGTAAGGCCAGGAGCTCCGTTCGTAGCTTCTTGTTACTAGTAGCGATTCTTCAGCATATGGGGATGGGTTGTGACCCACCTGGAGCCCGACCAGTCCATCATGTAGCGAAGGAGCGCAAGTTACGTCGGTAGGTCATCCAAGGAATCCTGTTGACCCACAGCCATATCGGACCCTTGGGTAGGTGTTTTGTTCTGTCTAGGCCAGGCTAAGAGTTTTCCCAGATCTGAAATCGAGAACTCAGACTGGTGGGGGGGGGGAACCCCCCAGAACATCTGGTGCTACTCTGCATCATCTCGTTGGAGGAAAACCTTGGAAAATCCAAGAACTTCGTTCAGGTCCTCAGAATAGACGTCCTGTCGGTGTCTAGCTCTCAGTGGATCCCTTGATCTCCTTCATTTCGAATGTGTATTGAACCCGTGGAAGAAAGGAGTTATATATAGACTAAAACCCCTTGGGCCACAAATTCTCCTATAAAAGACACACCCTTTGTTACTTTTGGAGCCACATCCAAAGACTGCCAAGTACTCTCCCCTGAACTTCATGGTATTGTTGGTCCAGGAATTATTCAACCTCAGGGCCCATCCTCACCTTCCAGTTCTTTCCATCGTAAAGGCTCAATCGTAAGGACAACTTATCTGGGAAATATCTTAAGGGTCAAATCCTAAGGCCACAAAGGGAAAACGAGGGCGTTCGCAGTCTTAAGCCGGGGTCCTTTTGCACCTCTGTCGTCTCCCCTGAGACTTGGTGAGGAAGCCGTGACCCCAGCTTAAGACTGCGAAGGTTCGCGAGAAAAAACAACACCAAAAATGCCAGTCGACCATGGCAGGTTTGACCGTCTCTTCTAGAAACCCGAACCTTCTCTTCAACTAAGGGCAGGGGAGAAGACTTGAAGTCTTCTCCCCCCTCAAACAATCTCTGGGACCCGAATCCTCGGATTCGGGTGGGGTCCCCTTCCTCCTTTGGAGGGCTGGGTCTCAAAAAAACCGGGACGACGCGTCGTCGGGCCGTCGCCCAGGGCCGTTCAGCCCAGGCCCGGCCTTGATGAGGATTCCAAACGTCTCCGGGACCTCGTGGGTCCAGCGGCAAGCGTCGCCGCGGGCGCAGGTGTTGTGCCTGGCGCGATCGGGCGATCGGGCGGTCTCGGGCGAGAAAGGGGTCTCGGGCGGTTGGGGTTCCTTTTCGCGGTTCTGTGTCTCTCTTGGGCTCCTTGCATCTCAAAAGGGTTGCCAGCCAACAAGCGATCAGCTCGGTAGCACGGCTGCTCAGAAATCCCACAGACCACAAAAGAACCCTCCAACCCTCCAACCCAACCCAACCCAACCCAAACAGGAGAGCATCCTCTCCACGTCCGACCATACGTCCGACCACCCGTGCCCACCGGTCACCTCGCGAATTGCCAGCACCTTTGGGAATCGGCTGCATCGCCCTGCAACCAGGGCTCCACCGGTTGGAGGGTGGGTTTGGGAGGGAAAAAGTGAGACAACACGGGTGAATACGAAGGAACCGGGTGTTTGGTTAGGGGGGATTGGGGAGTCAAAGGAAGGAAGGCCGGAAGGGGTGAACCGTGGTAAAAGTATCGTACAAGTTCTATACCAGCACCTTCCGTGCGGTGTCACCCATGAGTTTGCCCCTAACCAGCCAGGACACCGACAGGAAGGTCCAGGTAGTTGATTGAGATACCCCACTGAAGCTAACATAGACCCTCAAAACCGCTGGTGTGTAGAGGAAAAACCGTCAGACTGTCGGTGCCATTCGACCCGGGTCCATGTGAGAAAACTGGTCCATTGGATCTGAAGACACGCGACTACTGCAACAGTGACGGTGATCGGTTGGTCATTTCCGCGGACCGCCTCGCCTTCTTTCTCGCGCGACCAATGTGATGGTTACCCGGACGACCAATATGAGAGAGACCCCGGACCCGCCTGGGCCTGGGTGATCAATCAATAGCCCCCCATCCATGTCCGTCGGTGAATATAAACCTAAAACTTCCTTCAAGTTCCCGCACGAGGAACGCACGAGGTGAAGAATCTACACAGAGAATGAGTACGAGTTCCAGGCGCTGCTTCATGTTACTGCACTGCGGTATCCACCCGAACGACCCGTCACTTAGGCAGAGTGGCCAGAAGAACCTCCAACAACGTCTCAGTGGACCCATGTAACCCCTCCCCCTTTCCTTTGTCTTTTAAATCCACGTCCACGTCCTCCACTGGTCTCACTGGTCTCACGCGAAGTCCACGAGGGGCTTCACCATCCCACAACGCTCCCTGGTCGATTGCCACCCCTTGTCCAGCCGACCTCACTGGACCGCCAGAGGGTGATTCGAGCTCCGCCGGTGGCTGTGTCGCTGCCCCGCTGCATGTCCACATACCTCGGATGGGGTGCTGGTGGCCGGACGTGGACGGAGACCGAGCGAACGCCAGAGATGCAGAACCGCATGCATTTTTTACATGTAAAGCGTCCTGGAGACCGAGCTGAGCTGAGGGACAAGACCCGTAGTACTGGTGATTCTCCGGTAGCTGGGCAAGTGTCGTGAGAGCAATGAGGGTCGTTATGTGGTCGTTGGACCGAAGCCTCTCATGTTTTTGGGGGGGGTAAGAATGGGCTTCCGCATCCCATCCAGATAGATTTGGGGATCATCAAAAGGCGGGATAACCGGTGAAGCTGGATAACTGGTGACTTCGGGGACGTGGTGTGAAGGTGGCTGGGCGTCTGCCACCGGTTTGGTTGCCTAGATGTTCTTATAATTTCCCCAAAAGATCAATCTGGTATTTTCCCAAATCTGGGTCAAAGCCCCCATACCTTTCATGTCGAAATTCACATGATACACTCCCCCAAGCAACAGTCGCCCGTGGCAGCAGGCTTTTCGGAAACCCAGTGGTGCGAACGACAACTGCTCGGTCGAATCACCGATCCAACAGTCTAAGGAGAAGCGTCAAGCGACCAGGCTTCGCCGGCGGTTTTCGGCGTGTTTCATCCGTGGATGGCACCCCTATCCACCTTCACGTGGATGGGACCCTGACATGGAACCGCTGGCGAAGAGTCCACCTCGTTCCTCTTTAACCACCTTCACCTGCCCAACTTTCTTGGACCCCTCAAAATCCCACACCACGCCCAACTCCCCCCCCCCTGGCACGGATCGACCTCCCGCGTTTTCTCCCGGGCCACGGATCGCTCAAGAGGGGCCACAAATAGTGTGCGAGCAACTGCGGGCCACGGCGAGCACGGTTTTTCAGGTCGCCGGGTTTTTTGGGTCGCCGGCAGTCTTGGGGGACCCGGACCGAAAAGTATGTGTGACGGAAGAAAGTCTGGAGCGATTTAGGCCTCTGGTTCTATTGAAAGTGGTCTAGCATTGTTCATGTGAGTGGACGGGCTCGAGAAGCCTTTTGGGGATTGTCATTCGAAATCAACCACACAGGGCCAAACCGAAACCACGGACTTTCTCCAATCCTCATGTGCTTTTGGGGTGTTTGGGCGGATGCCAGTTCGTGCTTTGGGCGAAGGAGTGCCCTTTCAACGTCCCCGCAGCGTCGACCCACTTCCGACGGCTCGCGTCGCGTCACGGGCGGCGACCCGCGTCGCGGGCGAAGGCGACTCGCCTCGATCAAGCAGCTGTCTCGGCCTTGCTCGACTGCTTGGGCTACGTCGCCCTGCACAATGACCTGCCGGGATAGAGTCGACATCGAAGCCCAGTCAGAGCTCCAGTTGGCAAAGGTGCTGAAGGGCCCCAAAAACACGTGGAAAACATATGGCAGTGCACCAGAAATAGTGCCAAACACTTACCTTCGACCACTGGGATCTTTGGTCTCATGGTTTCTCTCCGTCCGTCAACGCCAGATGGCGGAGTTGGTTGAGAGGGTCCTCTTGGACATGTGTCTTCTGTGGGGTGGCAACTGTGCAACAGTCTTCTTTGATTCCATCCTGTGCAGCTCATCGGCAAGTCTTCGGACACAAAAGAAGCTGATGGACAAAGACCTGTATGTCTTGGCAGCTCAACTTCCATCCCCGGCATCTCTTGGTGAAGGCGTGGATGGTATGAGGGGCCTGGGCGAACATACAAAGGAACCCCACATGCAAATGCCAGACATCTGTGGTCTCCATGGGGTCTCCCAGCCACCCTGAGCTCCGTGTCCTGCGTGCCCGATCGCACCGTCAGCCTCGTAGGCACAGTAGCCCGAGGCGTCTGGCAAGCACCGCACATTGGCGGTGCCGCCCGGACCAAATGCACGATGCGATGCTTCATAAAGCCATGGGATCAATTCGTGGTTCAAACCTGGGAAGCGTCGGACGAAACGAGGTGGAGAGTGGAGAGTGGAGGTGAAACGAGACATGATCCTGCCCAATACTCCTACTTCTGAAGGGTGGTTCTTCTGTAGTTTTGACATCGTGAGCTGCTCTCAAAGAACCTCCTTGCTTAGACCTCTGGATAGAGTTGGTTCAGAGTTGGTTCTCTAACCAAATAGAGAGATTTCTTGCAAGTCAACGAGAAGACCGAGAGGACCGTGAAGCTCATGAACATGTGGGGAATCCCATTCTGGAAACCGGTCAAAACCAGCTACCTCCAAATCCATCGGTCTGCGAACCGATGGGAGAGGAAGTGGATCTGGAATTTGTTTGTGAGTGAGAAATCAAGTTCATCTCCCACTCCTGTGCCCAGCAAGTTGTAGGATCTTCGCTATCACTATCTCAAGCAACCGCCATCACCAGCATATGATGGCTCCAGCTCCCAGGGACCCTGTCCTCCGCTCACCAGGTCAGCCAACCACGTCCTGGCGCTCTTGTCAAACCACCGCCCTGCCGGACTGCAGTAGCCCAAATGCATCTCAGGGGCTGCCATCCATCACAAAGCCTGCGCCGCCTGCGCCGCCTGCGCCGTGTCGCTGAGCGAAGTCCAGTGGTCGCAAGGACCAGGCGACACGTGGGTTCGTAGCACATCATGTGGGGACACAGATACAGTAGTGCTAGGAGAAATCTGTCGTAGTTGGTAAGGTACCTTAACATCCACCAAGTCTAGTTCGATTGAAACAGTCTTCCACCTTCCACCGGTTTGCTTCACGACCTTATAAAGCGTCATTCCATGGAACCTCGATGCTCCTTTGCGGCGCTTGCGCCGTGCACGCGACCACCGTCCGACGTCCCGCTTCCTCCTCGAAACGCAACCCTCTCCGCCGAGCGGCTTCCGTAGCATTGCGCAGGAACGACCATCTGTGACTTGTCCCACTGCGACTGGGACCTGACAGGCCAGGAACTGTGCTGTATCTCACTGCATGACGATGCACGCGATGAGTAGGACTGACTCGAACATGAGTCGAATCTGTGCAACACCCCCTCTACCTCTTGGGGTGGTATCGCTCTATATGTTCCAACCACCCATGGGGACAAGATTCCTGCCAATAGGAAGAAAGTATCGAAGAAAACCATCGAAACCCATACACTCGTTGTGCATCACTTTGCGAAGAGAAAAGTAAAGGCCTCCGTCGGTGTCGTTCTTTGGGCATACAGGCGTCCGGTGCTTGAATGGAAGGAAAGACCTATGGAGTGGCTACCTAGATATCAGGATCCCCAGATCTTCCCCACTATTCTTCCATACGGTTCTCCCAAACACTTCACCCTCGGCCCACACCTGACCGCTCGTGACCTGGGCAGGTCCTGGACCTTCCCGCTTGCCAAACCCTTTTCCCTCTTCCGAGGCACGCCATATCCCACTGATACGTGGACTGCTCCGGAGGAATATAGCCTCAGACATCGCGGGCAGACAGAGTGGTTCTCGAGTGGTTCTTGAAGTGCTCGCTGCACTTGGTCAACGCCATATGTTCAACGCCATGTTCAACAGCTTGGATCTTGTGATCAGCCCCGGCCAAACCATGTTGGTTCCACACCTCTGCTCGGCTGAGAGGATACAAATGGGATCAGGTCTCAACGTGTCTGGTCTCACATGTGGGGGTGGCCCGATGGAGGGTGACCAGGGTGCTTTCAAACGACTCAACAGAAGCCAGATTTGGATGTGGGTTAAAATAGGGAGACATCCCAAAGACCCCGTGGAAGAAGGAAGATAGACCACAACCCATTGGTGGGGGGGCAGGGTCCCTATTAAAATACACACCCAGATTTCTTTTGAGCTTCCAAATCAAACTCTTGGCAGCCCTGAGTCATAGATCCGAGCATTGAGCATTCTCCAACTTATGTTTCGGCTGGCATTGAGAATACTTAGTGTCCTCCTCTTTCTTCGCTCTCCTTCCCCAGCCCCTCCTTTCCTCGCCTTTCCTCGCGAAAACATGTCTCTTCGGCCCAAGTGACGCAAAGCGCCTGCCATGAGACCGGAGGAATGCCATTCCTGGCCGTCCGCCCGTGACGGAGCGCACGTCTCTCTCATCGGGTCCCGGGTCTCTCGACACGTCCCCACTTTGATCCCCCAAGCATTGAGAACAAATATCCACTATGTAGAACCTGTTGATTGGGAGTCTTCTTTGTGGGGCTTGCGAGTCAAGGAGAGGCCAAACCCGCTTTCTCAAAAGCTGGTCGAAACCTGCACCCTCCAGCCTCACCAAGTCCGGTTTTCAAGACTCTTGGGGGGCGCATTTCGGCCGAGATTAGACTCCTCCGGTTCTTTAGACTCGTGGGATTGCTTCTGCAGCTCTTCTTCGTGAGAAAGCAACCCCTGGCAGGAGCGTCTTGGTTGGTGAATCCAACATCAGGGGCCGACAGAAGGCGGGGAACCCATCACGGCGCCGACCACGAAGGGGAACCCCGCGACGGTGGTTGGTTTCTCAAGAAATAGGTGATCGAAAGGCCAGGAGACGCAATTCGTTGCCCCTTGGGGACTATCTTCACTTCTGAAACCTGCTGGTTGATGAAGTTTCACTGTGTGGACCTCTGCTGTGAACCCGGAAAAACGACATCACGAAAACACGTGGTTCTGTTCTGCAAAAAACAACCGCAAAACATGGTCCCAACATGGTCCCAAGAGACCTCGTTTCATCCCCCCGTCGGCTCAAAGGGGACGATGTCCAGACCTCGCCTTCTTCTCATATGCTGAGCCCGGAAGGGCCTTGGGAGATGCACAGGGAGGGTGACATGGTCGTTGGGTCTCTCGTTCTCCCGTCTCGGCGTCGGGAAAAAGGACACGAACGGACGGCGAAACACACCGAAACGGCGTGAAGAATGAGATCAGGGATCTTTGGAGTCGTGATATCAATCTCAACCTGGAACCCCAGTCACAACCAGAAAGAAATGGATGTTTCCCCAGTCCCAACCATTTCCTATGTAAAGGAGTTCAATTGCCAGGAGTTCAAGAATCCTTTTGCTTTCACCTTTTTCGGGTGTGTGTTTCTCCAGTGTTCTCGAAACCACAATTGCCATTAGCATGATCATCACCATCGGCATTACCATTGCCACTGGTTTGGGGGGTAGAGTCTGAGAATCTATGTGGAGATGTTTCCTCATTCGCAGAAACGGGTTTCCAAGACCTGTTGTGGGGATTCAGGTTGGGGACCTCCTCTTCTCTCAAAATCTCTCAAAACCGCCAGCAGCGAACGAAGTGAGAAAAAAGCTCATGCCACGTCTCGCTTGGATGTGGCCCCCTGTCCAAAGGAAAACACTGTTCCGAACTGAGAAGATCACACAAAGATGAGATGTGCTCAGCAGCGTGCAGGTGATCCAAATATTCTCAAGCATAGACATGCTGACAACAAAAATTGACTTGGAAGGTCAACAAGATAGGTGTTTGGGTTCTGGTCTTCTGCGGTATGTTCATGTTTCCATTATTGTTACATGATGAAACCTGTGCACCTGTAAAGCGCAGCAAAAAAGATCCTCCCTCTTGCCGCTGGGTGCCAAATCGTGCTCTCTCTCTCTCTCTCTCTCTATGCACATGTGTTTGTGATTGAGAGTATGTGTACGTGTGTGTTCAGATGTAAAACCCTTTCGTGAACCCGGAAGAAGGATTCCGAAAAGCCATGGAAGGTGTGCCCCAATCGATTCCTGGAAGGGCTCAAAACGATTCCAGGATGGGCTGCCCGTGCTACGCTCCGCTCCATGAAAACCGTCCTTTCCCGGTCCATTCTGAAGCTGAGGGATTGGTACTTCGACCCAAGACCACGCCAAAGGATTCGGGTCGGTCGTGTCGCAGGACAAGAGCACTCCAATTGGACGATCTGTTCGAAACAAATCCCCGAAGCTGAAGCGAAATTGGTCCCGTTTCTTCCAAGGGTGGGTGGAGGGCGGGTCCAGGAAGGACTCTCCCTGGAACGTCCTCATGGTTACGTGGAGTTCACTCCCTGTTTGTAGAGGATTTCATGGTCTTCCAAGCCTTCCATCTCTTGGTGGTACCGTCTGCCGTTCTTCGCGAGGCGTCCAAAGAATCGATCACGAGGCCTCATGCTGGCAAGAGGCCTCATAGATACCTTCGCTCTTCCTGATCAAGCAACCGCAACAAAGCAGTGAGAGGTCTGCCACCAACTACTCATGAACCTTTGGGAAATCAACTAAAAGAAGTGCCCTTCCCCACAAGACGGAAGCACCCTCCAGACGGAAGCCCTCATCCACACATCTCCACACCTCAAATGTTAGGCCGATCTGTTCCACCGGGTCGCTCTCACAGGACACTCTTCGTTACGCTCGATTCACCGATTCAGTGGGTGGGAAAACCTGGAGACGGCCACGAATGGCACCGGACGAAGGCACACCGGACGAAGGCTTAGGGGGATCTGGGAAGTGCCTGGGCCCGTGGGGATTACCAAGGTGTTGGTCGAAGACCCTGAGCATTCAAGGAATCTGCGAAAGGAGTTGTTGTGTTGTTGTGGCAGCAAAGCGCCCAAATCACAGAATCATGCGAGCCACTGGTGTACTCAGTTGATGTGCTGCTACACCCTGTTGCTTTGAAAACAGAATGCCCATCATCCAATGATGACCTCTGCCCTTTCGCCCATGAAAGCTTCGCGCCCAGAATGGGTGTCCGCGTGTCCGGCCTTAAAAATTCCGGTGCTGGTGGAAGGTTTGGCAAGCACGGCGCCTGTCCGGGTCGGTCGGTTGACGTTGAGTTGAAGAAGATCTCTCGCTCCGTTTGGTTGGTAAGCATGTTCTCCTTCATCAAAGAGCCTTTACAGTACTTGGGGCAACTCCAATGTTCACCAGCCCTTGAGATTGAGAAGCCCAAGAGTTTTGAGGGGCTTTGTTAATGCTAGCTTGCTGCCTGGCTTGGGAACTCTTAGAGTTGATCCAACAGCCCGTTTTCAGAGAGGGTGCAACTAACGGACGGATACATCACTTCAATGGTTAAACTTCAATCTAGAATTTGCAGGAGATGAGTCCTCCAAGTTTATTGGGACCTCCCTTCGTTTTCACTTGAACCTCTTGACAGTGAAGCTCCATTTGTATCAAGTCCTTGCTACTACTGCTGTTCGGCCAGCGGCCCACCACAGACCACTGTTCATGAGCATCTTTTGGGGTTCTTATGCCAGAGCCTCGGGCCTCCAACCTAATAGCGATTGGGGCTCTGTAATTGACTTCTCCAATGCTCCGTCGCTCCTCTTCTCCGAGCCGGAACCAGCCTTGTCACCTTCCTCGGTGGAGAAAACAAAGGAGACAGGTGACAAACGGTTGGTAAAAGGTACGACAGTCTCACGAATAGAACAGAGTGGACTCAAGACATTGGATCTTTGCACAAAAAATCTTGGCCACTCAGGTGAAGAATCACTAGACTTAACTCATCAAAAAAAGACTGATGTGCAGTTCATTCTAAGCTCAGTTCATTCCACAGAGCCAAGAAGAAAAGGACCGAGCGACCACGACAAGCGCTCGAGCGCTTCGCTAACCCAGGGCTGAAAAACGACCACCTCAAGTGATAGATGCTTGTTGAGATGGGGGAGACCAAAAAGAATTACGGGATGCCCAATGGAAAGTGAGACTTCACGGAAGGACACTTAGTCAGAACACATCCCTTTCCCTACATCCCTTTCTCCTTATCCCTACCCACCCTCCTCAGGATCATGTCTCCCCCTTCCTTGAACACATCTCCATCTGCCGCCATCAATGACTCCTCATGAAAATCCGAACCCAGTCTCAGAGAGCATGGAGAGCAGCTCATTCCCACGTCGCCTCTGTTCTGCCAAAGGCAAGTCAATGAGTTTGGTCTCATCGAACGCCAAAGCGTTCGGGGCCGAGGCAAACATCTCCGGCGAGGCCACGACCTGCGACGGCACGAGGTCGAATTTAAAAGAGACCAGGGAAACGAAAAAGGGGCCTTTTGAACGTGAAGAAGTGTGTGGATGTGTGGATGTGTGGATTTGTGGATGTAGATAATCAATATGGGTCATCGGTCATCCTGAAGAAAGCAATAGATTCATGTCTTAAGGGCATATCTAAATGTCAATCAGTTTGAGCCTTCGACCGCATTCTTCCATCTGCAAACAAATCAACTTCCATTAATTTCATTTTCACTCTCATCCCCTCTCATGGATGCCGCCTCTTCATCCGGCTTCTGCAGACCTGGCAGGTTGATCAAAACGTCCAGGTTGCGAATCGAACAACCCTGAAAAACCCACTGACCCGGAACAACTCCCCCACCGACCCGCTACTCAACCCAATTCAACCTTTTTCCGCAACCATTCCGCCCACTGCCCACCAAACCCAGCCCTAGCAGGCCCTAGCACCCTCCTCCTCATCCACAAATCTACCATTTTCCTGTGACCCTCAGCCATACCCTCCTCCTCCCCACCCCACCTCCTTCGCCCCACCCCACCCCTCGGCCTGGCTGCGAGTCCACGCTCGGCTGCGAAAGCCGGTCGCTGTCCGGCTCCCGCGTCTCGCTCTCGGAGCCCCGGACGTCGCGGCTCGGCTCCTCGTGGAGTCCCACGGCGAAGGACGGCGAAGAATGGCGATCGTGTACAGTGTCTGATGAGCGTGTGTAAGATGGAGATACAGAAAGAGACCTTTTATATATATATATATACATATACATATACACTTTATGTTATAGATATACATACATACATACATACATGGCTCAAGCCATTTTGGCTCAAGCCGTCAAGCTGCTCAAGCCTGCAGCCCACCAAGACAGGCAAGCGCGCTACTCCCCAAGCAAGCATAGTTCTGCACTTTGTGACCAAGGGTGGCCCATCCGCAAGGTCCACCACAAACTCTTTGCTCGCAATTTTCGACTCCACCTTGGCCATTCCTGAAAAGCTCTACGGTGACCGGCAGGTTCTCGCCTACCGGCCAGAACGAGATCGGGGAAACCCAGTTTGCCATCCTTTCTGCCTATCACTAGGCCACTAAGGAGACCTTTCTCAGGAACAATGACGCCCAGCAAGTCCATGTCATGGGGACGCAGCTACATGGTTTGCAACCATGCTACCTGCAGCAACTTGATATGGCAGGAAAAAGTCCAACCGGCCACACGATGCCGAAGGTGCGGCACCTGGTGGCCTACACCCAAATCCACCGGAAAGGGGAAAGGACAAGGTGATCGAGGAAAGCAGACTATGCACCCACAGACTACCTCCTGGCCGAGAAAGACCTATCAAGAAGCATTGATGGACACACCGCCAGGGTTGACCAAGCTCCGGCCTTTGAAGAAAGGCAAAGACCAACAGGCAGCTGCAGAACTGCTAGCTTCAACATGGGATGTTATCCCAGAGGGCATCCAGGGCAAACTTCAACCCCTCGGCTTGGGACCACCTCCCCAAGAAGAACCAGAGCTAACAGATTTGCTCAAAACCCACATGGCTGCACTCCCACAAGCTGTTCAGGAAGTGGTCACCAAGATGACACAGCAAGGTCCTGACACCGAGAAAGATTGCCAACAAGCTCAAAAGCCTCCGTGTGGGAAGCATGGCACCAGCAACACAAAAGCCAACCTTCCAGGATCTGCTGGAGGACATCACCCGGCAGGACCAACACAGGGTCACAGTCCTGTACGTCCCACGCAACACCAAAACACCAGATGCGCCTGGCAATGAACCGCAGTTGCGACGGAGACAGAGGGATGCAGCCCTTGTAGCATATGAACGAGCAAACCACCTCCATGACAAGAGACAAACTGAATGGCAACACACTGTTGACCAAGATCATGCACTGATCTACCGGCATGCCGTTCAGAGGCTCCCAAATCTATGAAGACAAGACGCACTACATCCATGACAAAGCAGCACGCCACCACGGCAAGCAGACAAAGCAGTACAAGAAAGATCTGGTCCTCCAGCGCCGGAGACCTTGGCAGCCCAACCAACTCCGCTGGGAGCCACACCGCAGCGGGTATCATTGCAGCGCTTGTGGGACCAGGATGCATCAAGGGCTCACTGCCCCCGTTCTTGAAGAAAGGCTTCATGAACAATGCCCACAACGCCTTCAGTCCCAGAGTTGACCAAGAAACCCACAAGGGCCCAGGACAAGAGCCGCCACCAGCTCGAAGAAACCAAAGGCTACCTCAAATGCCAGCGATGTGGTGTCAACATCCACAAACGCACCAATGAGCAAGCCTTCAAGGACTTCATCACCAGCCCATGCTTGGATCAGCCCTTCCAAGAACCACATGAAGGACATCCAAGCCACAAGCTCTGGCAGACTGGCAACCAATTCCGCTGCCTCTCTGTGGGGGCTGCAACTGCATCTCAACAGCCAGAAGTGGGTGATGGGTGGCACCAACTTCCACAAGGAATGCAAGGGAGCTGGACTCAGAGGCTCCCCGCCAATTCACTCCTTCTTTCAGCCAGCAGGCCCCAAAGCTGCAGCACCAACACCTGAAGAGGGAACCACCACCAGTGAGGAGGCTCCCACGGCAGAGGCAGCAAACAGGCCCACTCACGGGAGCAACGACTCGCGGCACTCCTCCGTACCAACCATTGGGTGCGCTGCTGTACCCACATGGACGGCGATTGCCAGTTTGCGTCCATCGCCTTGGCATTGTGCCACGCTCGCCAGGCGACTTTGCTTGTCTTTTTCCAAAAATGGATGTCAACACGCTATTTGCTTCAAGTGTTTACCTGCATTTTGTGGATTGCGCAGGCGCAAATGCTACAAGTCGCCGACAAATTCTCGGTCCGACGAGCAGCCTGCGATTGGCTGCAAGCGCATCGGTCGGAGTACGAGGCGGCCAGCCAGAAGAACATACGCCAAAACAGTTATAGTTAGGCTCGCTTCGTTCCTCAGTTCCATTGCTACTGTCCAGTGGCGCGAGGCCTTTATCTATGAAGATTGGGAGGACTATTTGGCGAATTTACGCCGACCTGCCCAATCAAACCGTGATGGTGGCTACGGCGACCACGTCTCGTTGCACCTTTGCTAATACTTGCCTTCGGCTTTCAGCGCGGAGTCTTGAGCGAAGAACACAAACGATTCGCTCGTAATCCTAAAACGAACTTAGACACATTCCTCAAATTCTGTTGGTCCAGGCCTTCGTCGACGCATTCGCCATCGGCGTGCACGTCTGGGAAGCGGACGTGGAAGTCACCACTTTGACGAAGAAGACGGTGGCGCCGAAGAACATGGAGGCAAGGACAACTGGGCTGTCGAGACAGAAGGTCTTTTCTGCAGGCGGCTTCACTTTCCTACACAGCTCACTGAATGTGAGGACGAGCCTGCACCAAGACCTGCATCGGCCATGACACCCAGCCACAATGCAGGCACAGGTCACACGGACCGCAGAGACGCAGCACCAACAGGGCCAGCAGCTGCTGATGATGACCACGAAGAAGGGCTCGCTGTCGTCGACTTCTTCTAGATCTACCAGCAGCCGCAGCTAAGTGCCAAAACGGCACAGAGACCGCAGCAGAGAGAAAGGCCACTTTAGGAAAAAATCATACATACATACATACATACATACATACATACATTCATTCATTCAGTCATTCATTCATTCATTCATTCATTCATCATTCATTCATTCATTCATTCATTCCATTGCATTGCATTGCATTGCATTGCATCGCATTACACTACACTACACTACACTACACTACACTACACTACACTACACTACATACATGACATACAGACATACAGACATACTGTATAGTACTCCAGCATAGACCCCAAATAGCAAAAACGTTTTTGTGGGCAGCGACATGTAGCGGCACCAGCACCCAGGCTCCAAAGCGCACACTGTTGTCAACATCTGGCAGCAGCACCCTGGAGCGGCACCAGCAATACATAATAATATATATATACACATGTATCATATGTATAATATGTATATGTATACGCATGGGAGTCAAAACCCTGCGAGTCAAAGAATATTAAAAGAATAGTCTTTAAACTTTACGGCAACAGAAAGGGGATGTCCTTTACTTCACTGAGGCAAGATATTGTCTTTTCGCTCCTAGGATACATCTACATATATATATATATATATATACCAGGAGTCACAAAGGGGTGGTTTTTAGTCCCATCCAGTGAGTGGATAATGGGCACCCCTATCCTCCAAGTTCGGCACCCCTTTGTGACTGCTGGTATATGTAACATTATATTATAACTGTATAGCTGTATATATATATATGATTATATATGTATAACTTTTATATATATATATATATATGTACATATAACTGTATAACTGTACGTATCTTCACCCGCAGGCAACCACCCTCCTTGCGACGTGGGACACTCAGTGTTGGCACGGCCGGGTCCATCACCTCGGAGGGATCCGCCCGGATCTGCATGGATCGGAGGGTCTTCTAGGCCAGGATTGGGGGTCAAAAGGGGAAAGGTGATTGGCCTCAACTGGTGAATTGGCCTCAACTGGTGAATCTTAAGCTGATTTTTGGTGGAGCAAGTCGCCATCGAACACATCTTCGCCGGGCCCGTCTGCGCTTCGCTGCACCCAAGTGACGCCTGTTCAGTGATAATTGACAGAGACCCGCTGAAGTATTTGAACCGAAATCGCTGCGACACCGAGGACTTGTGGCACAGGTCAGCTGGGGGGCATTGAGTGTAAGGAGGCCCAAACAGGACATGTATTGTAGGAATTTGGAGGACCCCAGTGCGGAGTGTGCTCAATGAACATGGAGGACATAGCAGGTTAGTAGATCCTTAGTAGGTTCTTCTTCGAGAGGATGGGTGTGAAGAAGCTCAGAGGAGCTCAACCAAAAGGGTTTTGCCATCTCTTACAGCTGTCAGAGCGACCGCAAAGCAGTGAGAAATCTTGGGGATCTGCCATGTATGCCTTTTCTTCATGAGAACCTTACCCCAAGATGACTTGGTCAAAATATGTCAAGAGCCATTCTTTCGCCTGTATGCCATGTCTGCAAAAGGGGGACACCCGTGGTGTGTCGTCTCTGACCGGTCCGGTCCTGGCACATCGTCGTTCCAGGTGCGAAACGGCGGCCCGCTGTGCCTGCTTACTTTCCCCTGTACGGTCTAAAAACATGGTTCCAAAGGCCTGTTGATTGCATGAGATCTTCATCTCAGACACCGACAAACAAGCCTGACTTGGAAGCCATGTATCCTGTACTCCCAACCCAAGTCCTCCATGGCCAACCACCTTGTTCCCAAACCCTGGGAACACAGCGGCTCCAGCTGTGCTCCAGCTGTGCTCCCCGCTGATCTATCCCTCACTTCCCTGGGATCCGAGACCAATCTCCCAGTGACATGTGCTCGCTCTGCTGACCGGGACAGACCTGCACACCGGACCGACTCGACTCGTGGGTTCGAACGCGAGACCCCCGAGACCCGAGAGGCTGCCCCCCGAAACGGAGCGGAGCGTTTCACCGGCGGGCAGGTTGTGAGGTGTCACGGTGTGACAGATGGAAGGAATGACTGGTGAAGGCAAGGGAAGGTCCAGGAAGGAGCACCAAAAATGGAGACTCCTTTCGATTCATGACCCCTCATTCCTGTCAGGAGTCGCCAGTCAGATGATCCAGGAACCTGGAATCGTGTGGGAAGCCCTGGTCTGTTCTCCAACTATCCAGAATCCAGATGCACCCAGCCGAGGAGGAGGCGCACACCAGCGGGGTGTTGGCCGCTCTGCCTACTTGAGTAGTGGCTCACTACAAAGAGGTATGGCCATTGGCTCAGTCACAAAACCCAGTTGGCAACTTATTCCACTGGCTCTTTCTGGACCTAATCACTGGCTCGCTCCAGAGCTGTCCCTCCAAAAGTGTCTTAGGGGTCATCCCTCCCACCAAATCCCCTCCAACTCCGGGGCAAACGCACCGCCCACTACAGTACCGCCCACGTACGTGGTGCCAAAAAGAAGGTCCGTCTCCACACGCCGTCCGAGCCCGCACCGGGAGAGGAGCCCCACACCCACACCGCCCACACCGCCCAGCACGGCCCACCCCCATGGACCACGGCCGGGCGCACGTGGACCACGCCGGTGGCCGAGATGGTGAAGTGCTCTCCGAGCTTCGCCGCGGTGGAGACCGTCGACTCGGCGGCAGATCGCCGCGGCGGCGGCGATAAGGTGCGTCGTTACTCGCTCGCAGCAGCAACGCGGTGGGATCCAGTTCGGGTCGGTGGGTCGGGAACCCGAGTCGGGAAAAGGGGTCATTCCAGCGTCAACAGGGTCCTTTCAGGTCACTTAAATCATAGCCTCTCTTGGGAGCCGATGTCTTTTTAACGGCAGATGCAACAGCGCAACAGCTGCTAGGGCTGGACAGATACCTGTATGACAAAAGTGGGAAGACCCAGCACCCACCGTTGGCGAGAGGAAGAACCAAGCACATGCGGGATCCAGACACACAATTACTTGCTGGTTTCAACCCTTGACAGTGTCCATGAGAAAGCCATCCCAGCAAACCTCAGCATCATTGGTGCAACAAGTTCTCCATTCATACTCTCACCCCGCCGCACTGGTTCCTCAAAACAGGTTTGCACCAAAACGCCACTAATTCATGTTCCTCCAAAGCCAGCAGCCCTCCAAAAACGACCAAATCCCGTCAAGAAAAACGACCCCCCAAAAAAAAAGAAAAAGAGAGGGAAGTGTCCCCGGGCTGAGAGAGCGGACCCCTTCCATGAGTTCGGTGATCACCTCCAGGTCATAGGGCCGGAAGTCCGTCACCTCCACCTGGGTCGCTTCGGGTGACCGGTGCGTAGGGCGACGCTCGGTCTGGGCCGCTTCGAAAGGGAAGAAAGAAGCAGCGGGTGGGTCGGGTGAAAAGGAAAGAGTAGCTGAGTAGCTGAACACCTGGAGAAGCCAAGCCATTCTGAGTTAACACCACTCATTCTGAGTCAACCATCTTGAGACAGGTGACAACACGTGTGACAACACGTGGGACAACACGTCGATCCGGTGCTCTCTTCGGGGTCGAACCAGGTCCGGTTGGTGAAGAAACCACCAGTTCCTCGAGTCGAAGGAAGCGTGACTTCAAAAGAAGGGAGATGTCTACCAGGACCCTCCTGGCCAGGCTGTTTTGGGACACTAACAGGTGGTTTCTGGGCACCTGTTGTCACCAAGGAGACACCTGTTGGAGGGTGCTGGTATGGCGAAATGCATCTGGAAAAAGTCGCTGTTGGACACTTCGCGGAGGCGAACTCTTCAGCTCCCCCGGTCAGGCGAACGAATCGAAAGATACAAGGAGAGCATCGGAGCCATCGCGTGGTTCTTCTCAAACATTTACAACCCGGCTTGCTGAATAGTAAGCTTTCACTCGACATATTGCACACCGAACGCGCTCTCTGTCGCAGACCTGGTGTAAAACGGCTCGCATGACGACCAAGCGGAATCGGAACGGGACGTGCTGGCGGAACTGGAACTCTGGGCTGACGGACGTGCTCCCTTCGCTTGCAGTAGACAAATTTCACCCTGGGAGGTGACAGAGGCTGTCTCAAAACGGAGGTGGCAGAGTCCCTGCTTGGGTCTTGCACCAGTTGAGAGATGGACGCTAAAAATAGACCAGGGTTCTATATAGATCTTTCTAGGGCTTTCGGGTGGTGATTGGACTGTTCTACAGAAGAGTAGGCTGCAAAAAACAATTGGACTTGCAGGAGAAGACAGCTCCTTTCCTCAAAGGATGCGAAAAATAGTTTTGCATATAAACAACACTGCACCGCAGCATCCTTCACAAAAGAACAGCCCCAAGTCCAGACAGTTTTGGGACGGGGTCTGCCGGGTCAACCTAAATTGAAAGCCCGGTCCACAAGTTCAAGAATTCTTCAAACTGTTATACTGAATACAACCTCTGTGGAAGATGTGCAAATCTCAGGATTTCTAGGAACTCAAAATTTGTGGTGCTTTTTGCCATCCAATCCGTCCCTTGGACTATTGAAGACACCTCATTCCTCCATGCGAATCCAAGCAAAGAAAGGCAAAACCACCATCTCCACTGCCGATGCTCGCCCTTGGCCAGAGGCCTTTTGCCTCGACATCTTCCAACCCTTCCCACCGAATACGAGCTCCTCCAGTCCCGAACCGGGCACGGTGTCGATGGGCCGAACCTCTCACCGTGCCCGCTTCAGGCCCTGCGGCTCCACCGGGCACCCCTCACGAGGAGTTGGAGCCGTTCTTCGCGAAGAAGGCAATGACATCCTGCGGCCGAGACGCGTCGTGCGACCGCCCCGGCTGCGCGTCGTGCGACCGCCACGTCGTGCGGATGCCGGGTGTCTCTACGAGTCGGACCGTCGAAAGACGGCTTTTCTCTGGGAAAGCGAACCACTGGGCCGAACGACTGGCAGAGCCAAGTGAAGCGACGACTGGCAGACATCCGCGTTGGGGTCAACCTCAACTAACATCTATCCGTCGACGCAAGAGAATCAAACATCCCTGCTCCTCTTCTCACGTTCATCATCTATATCACAGACTTCATTGACTATATCCCCTTGATCCAGAGCCCTGCTCCACCCCAGGTCTATATCTGGTCGCTTGGCTGGCATGCTGTGAAAGAAACCTGGCTTTAAAAGAAGGAAAAAAGGAACACAAGCCTGTCATTTCGCTCACCTCATGTTTTGGCCGTTGCCTCTCACCGCCCAGTGCTTTCGCCCCCCCCCAACCAGTGCTTTCGCCCCTTCCCACTGTTCCTCTCCGCCCGCGCGCCTCGCCGGTGTGCAGCTTCGCCAGCTCGCGCTTCAGCATCGCCTCCTCGTCCCACCTCGGTGCCGGGCGGGGAACCTTCGCACCTCGGTCCGGTTCCTGGTCGTTCGGAGGCGACCGGACCGACCGCCGAAGAGGGGGTTCTTTGGAGGGACCGAGACCGAAGTGGCCACGAAGTAGCGACAGACCTGGAAGCGAAGCGGTCACCGCAAAAACCAGCTGCAAACCGCTCCAAGCAACTTGAAAGTGTGGCGGTAGTGGTCACCATCCAAATTCAAAGATGCACCTGGAGGCCATAAATAGAAAATGCTTGGTAGCGTGTATTTCTTGGTCTTTTCAGGGCAAAGAGTCCAACAACCACCCCCAGCTTGACGTGCAAAAAGGTGAAAATCCACTCAAATCCAGTGCCACAGTGCTTTGCAATCTCCCCAATTCGTGGAGGGTCTCCCATTGGATCACACCCCTGGTCACCCCGAACGAGGCTTCCGACTCCTCATCTGGCTGACCTTGCAGGAGGTCCTGGCGCTCCAAGGACAGTTTTTAGGAGAATAAGAACGCAGAAGAAGGAGGACATGTTTCTGGTGAAGGTTTGAGTTCAGGGCCAAGTCCGATCACCATGAAAACTCGAGGCTTCTTTTGTCATCGATAGAATCTCGGTGAAAC